GTAGCAAAGTCTCGTCATATTTACTGATGGAATGGTAGATTTTACCGTAGGTTCTATGCTAAGAGTTTCTTTTCTCGCACTTCTCGCTTGTGGAACTTTCTTCTAGCTTCTTGCTTTCAAGTCTACTTTAATCTTCAAAAATTTAAATGCAATATAATCTTCTGTCTTCTTAATTCTAATTCTTTTATTGTCCTTTCTCCTTAATAGTAGTTTTTCTCATATTCTCTAACACTCAGTAACCCCTTGCGTCCTAGTGGCTTTATTGCCTTTGATCTTCAAAAATTTAAATGCAATGTCATAAATAATGTTTTTCCTTTTTTTTATATTCTTCCCTTCTCCCTCCAGCCTTGTACCAAAAGAATTGTATTCTGGTAAATAAACAAACCTTTTTGGAAGGCCTGCAAAAGTGCAGAAATTGAAACAGCATAAAGGCCAATTGATAAATCGAAAAACCATTGAGAGAAAGAAGGAATGAATCAAGGCATAAATACTAATTGTTCCCGTCTTAGAAATTTACACATAAATACGCGTCTCTATTTTCATTATTCGTATTACTGTCCTTTAAAGCCCATAAAAATGACGGACAATAAGCAGAATATAAATTGAACGATTTTCTATTGTCAAGCAGTCACAAACATTTTCCTAAACTGGAGCATAACTTATTTTGAATGCTACAAACACGCCTAACAAATTTTTCAAGGGAGGAGAAGCCGTTAACGGAATAGCCCCATAACAACAACGACCGTTGCTGATTGGTGAATTAATTTAAAGTTAATCAGATGGAGGGCGAATAATGGATGAAAATTGTAGACAAGAAGCCGGATGTTACTCTTCCGTTGCTAAGTAACCAATTCTCAAACAGAAGTACACATGGATGCTTAAGACTTTCTTTCTTTCTTTCTCGTTATCCTATCACAACCTTTGTCTTCTCTCTCAGATAGCCATTTTCAATGGTGATATTTTCTCTACAGATGCAACAGTGACAACTTGTATTTTTTTGCATAAAAAAATGAACGGTGGTTTGAAGAAGAGAAAACTTCCGGTTTACCGGGTTGAACTTGGACAATAATTTAATGTCCACTAGACAGATAGTCAGATAATGAACACATTCAGATACTAACTACAGAGTGAGATAGATAGATAGATAGATAGATAGATAGATAGATAGATAGGTATAAAAAGATACGAAGATAGATAGATAGATAGATAGATAGATAATGAACAGACTAAGATAGATAGATAGATAGATAGATAGATGAATAGATAGATAGATAGATAAATAAGATAATAGATAGATAGATAGATAGATAGATAGATAGATAGATAGATAGATATAAAAAGATACGAAGATAGATAGATCGATAATGAATAAACTAAGATAGATAGATAGATAGATGGATGGATAGATATAAAAAGACACGAAGATAGACAGAAACAGATCATTGAAAAACTGAGACAGCCACCAGATTATTGAAAGAAATACTCTTTTCTCAATACAAAAGGATACAATCATCTTACTTATTATAAAACCCAGGTTGTGTGTGTGTGTGTGTGTGTGTGTGTGTGTGTGTGTGTGTGTGTGTGTGTGTGTGTGTGTGTAACGTTTATATATTGGATCAGATTTCCTACATTTTTTAACCGATTTCAACAAAACTTCACAGGACTACGTAAAATTACCTTGCGGTGGTTCTAACAGCTTCCAAAATTGGAAAACACAATTGTTTTTGCACAAAATCAATTTGAAAACACGATTAAGAGGCATTAATGAAAGGGGGACAACTCACATCGGGTTAAAAACCCAGGTTGTTTGTGTTCGTTTATATATTGGAACGGATTTCCTACATTTTTCAACCGATTTCAACAAAACTTCACTTTTTTTTTTGGCAGGTAGTGTTTCTTATTGTCTTGCACACTTTTTTCTTTATTTTTACATTCAGAATGCTTTAAAAATTCCATTTACAAGACAATTGTTTATAATAAAATTCTATTCAATCGGTAGACTCATAACGATTGAAAATAATGTTTTTTGTTTGAGTTTGGGTTTGACCAATTCGTAAAAAAATAAAAACTAATTAAAATAAATAATCTTTGTCAATTTTATTTTTCAGTCTTTATGATGGTCTATATTTGATCTATCTCTTACTGTTACAACGCCGGGCTCTACTGCTAGTATATTCTATATTGATACAATCCCGATACATTTGTCGCTGACATATTTTCTGCAAACGTCAATAATATCTTGTCTATGTTCCGGTTTATGATGCATGAAAAAATAACTCACCGACCTCCACCCACTGAGTTTAATTTTCTATTTAGTATAGATCTGACATTTAATTGGTTAATAAAGACACACCCACAAGTCTATTTTTAATTCTGATCCTATCCCCCTGCACTTTAACTTTCAGAAAAGAGGTAATACTTTGTTTTTAAATTTTCTTAAAAATCATTAAATCACCACTAACTTACCATCACCTGAAGAAGTACAATCAAAGTATTGAAA